AGAGAGAGAGAGAGAGAGAGAGAGAGAGAGAGAGAGAGAGAGAGATTGATAAAGAATTAAAAGAGAGGGAGAGGCGGAGAAAGAACAATTTTGAGTGGCCGTGTCTTGTGCGACTTTGATAATATTATGCATGTGTCAGAGGGTGCAAAATTTATTTAGCTTTAAACTGGCATGCTGCATGAGTTGGTAGTGCAAAGCTGTAACACAAAGAAATAGGTGAATGCATTTTAAAGTTTTAATTTTATTTTATCGCTATCTTTGTATCGTGTATAAATGTACAGTGTTTAACATGACTCATGATATTTTGGGGGGTAAGTGTTTTACGGCGCTCATAACTATATAAGGTCAAATAAGCGTGCGGGACATATTATTAAACATTTTCAGTTTGGTAGAAAATTTTAGATATTGCCCAGGTGGCGGCCAAAACCTGCTCTTGTAGATGTGTCTGTCTGCCACATGTAGCGGCACTTCTTAAGCTCCGGGACAGTATCAAATCTGCGGCTGCCAAGACCTGTGTCATGAGGGTCGACAGCGAATGGTGTTTGGATACAGAATAAATCGTCGGAGATGGACCTTTGCTCTTGTTTTTGATGCTGTTTGGAACTGATTCCGCCAACGAAACAGCATGATATGATGGTCGTGTTGGTTGGTAGTTACGCATGATTAGCCATTTCATGGACAGTCAACAACATCACAAGCGGTACTCTTTTTTTCACCTTACGTCGAAAGTATACAAGCGATACAGCTGTGGCTTCTGACAGCTGGTCTAAGTGACATCTGCGATCTGAGACGGCCGAGTGCCTTGTGGCTACCAGTGGTGCTCAATCTTAGCAAAGTGTTTGATCAACGAGACGCAAATGATTAAAATAATTTTTGTCGTTTGTATTTTAATTGTTGTTGTTGTTGTTGTTGTTTTATATTATTATTCCATTAGCAAATTTCCAAGTCAGTTTGACCGACAGTTGTCTGACTTTTACTCACTTATGTAGTCTCACCACGTTAAAGGCACTGCCTGAAGATTATCTAGATCATTTAAATATTTTCTTAAAATGCAAAACTGAGCGCCAAATCACATGAAAAAGAAATTTACACAAACAAAAACATTTCTGGATACCACTAATTCATGATTGAAAATGTTGGCTTTTTTAATGTACCCATCTAGTTAATATACAATGTAAAGGAACAGTAAGCTTATGTGATTGGTAACATCTGGATTGGTAACAACAGGATACGACTTCAAAACTGCGCACTGATCTCCATGAAATGAAGGGTCTTCGAGTTAAAATGTAGAAGCACCCGTAAGTGTCCAATCCCATCAGTTCGAGGGAGCTAGAACTTCTGGACCGTGGAATTGTGGGTGAAATGAAATTGGGCCTTCAAAAGAGAATCCTGATGTGTGGTCGGTAACAGCTCCATTGCAGAAGAAAACCCGCTATAAGCCAAGTCTGAGCATTTCCGGGGGAAAACCCGTGCACTCCAACATCTTTTGATAAAAGGTTGTTGTGAGAATATTATATTTTGTCACAACGCACTGGACCCCTTGATATCTAGTATGAAAGATTACGATGATGTGTATTTCCTCACTACTCTTTATAACACATATTTGGACAAAATAACACCTGAAATTAAGCTAGGAGACAGCCCAATCAACGAGATTCTTTTAATAATACTAATAATAATA